CGCCCACCCTACTTTGAATATACGGCCACGCCCTCCCCACCGGGAGGCCCCGCCCCCTCCTCCGCGAGGCCCCGCCCACCTTGGGGCAGCGCCGGTTGAGCGTGCGCTGGGAGTCGAAGTAGGTGATGGTGCGGCGCGCCACGTCGACGGCCACGAGCGACCAGTGCACCTCCAGGTGGATGGGGATCAGCAGCAGCTCCTTGCCGAAAATGTCCACCTGCCCGGGAGGGGGCGGGGCCTCGCTGGGACACGCCCACCGACGGACACGCCCGCCCGATACAAGGGGGGGAATCTCCAAGGGAAATGGGAGGGGGTTTGGGGTGGGAAGGGTTAAAAATGGGGGGATATGGACATGGTGGGGGGTGTGTCTGCAGGTGGCCACGCCCATTTGTGGCCACGCCCACTTTTGGTCACGCCCACCCCAGGAAGAAAATCCCCAGGGAAATGGGAGGGGTTTGGGGTGGGAAGGGTTAAAAATGGGGGAATATGAATATGGTGGGGTTGAGGGGTGGGGGTGTGTCTGTAGGTGGCCACGCCCACATTTGGCCACGCCCACCCCAGGGAAGAATCCCCAGGGAAATGGGAGGGGTTTGGGGTGGGAAGGGTTAAAAATGGGGGGGAACTGACAGGGTGGGGGTGTGTTTGCAGGTGGACACGCCCACTTGTGGACACGCCCACTTTTGGACACGCCCACTTTTGGGCACACCCATATTTGGCCACGCCCACAACAGGAAAGAATCCCCAGGGAAATGGGAGGGGTTTTGGGGTGGGAGGGGTTAAAAGAGGAGTAAATCCAGGAGAGGGGGTGGGGTTTGGGTCATCCTTGGCCACGCCCACCGGTGACCATGCCCACATCCGGCCACGCCCACCCATTAAAAATTCCGGGAGGAATGGAACGAGTTGTGGGGTGGGAGGAGCTAAAGGAGGGCCACACCCACTTTGGGGCACAGGGGTTGGATTTGACCACACCCACATCTGGCCACGCCCAAATTCTACTCCACCCATTTAAGCCCCGCCCCTCCCATTCTTACCCCAGCACATAAAGCCACACCCACACCTGATTAATAATACACCCAGCCACGCCCATAACAGGTCACACCCACATGAGGCCACACCCACATTTGGTCACGCCCCCTCAAGCCACGCCCTCTCAGGCCACACCCCCTCAGGCCACGCCCCCTCCCGAAGCCCCGCCCCTCACGTTCTTGGTCCAGCGCTGCACGCCCTCGTAGCCGCGCGTGCGGAGCTTGTCGTAGAAAAAGGAGTTGAAGAAATGCACCTGGGGAGGGGGCGGGGCTTAGCTGGACACGCCCACCGGGCGGTGGACACGCCCGCCGGGCGGTGGCCACGCCCACAAAGCCAGGAAGCCACGCCCACAAAGCCAGGAAGCCACGCCCCCGCCGACCTTGTCGGGCACGGCGTCCATGACGAGGTCGCCGTACATGTTCATCACCTGGGGGGGGGAAAAGTAATTAAAATTAATTAATGAAAAATATGAAATAATTAAAAACACGAAATATGAAATTTCCGCAACGAAGTTCTTCCCAAAAAATCCCAAAATTCCACCCCAAAAAACTGAAAATTCCACCCCAAAAAACTGAAAATTCCACCCCAAAAAATTGAAAATTCCACCCCAAAAAACTGAAAATTTTACCCCAAAAAACTGAAAATTCCACCCCAAAAAACTGAAAATTCCACCCCAAAAAATTGAAAATTCTACCCCAAAAAACTGAAAATTCCCCCCCAAAAAACTGAAAATTCCCCCCCCAAAAACTGAAAATTTTACCCAAAAAACCACCTAAAAAAAAAAAAAAAAGAAAAAAAAATCCAAAATTGGGCCACCAAAAAACCACAAAATGCCCCAAAATTCCACCTCAAAAATTCCCAAAAAAACTCCTCTAAATCCTCCTAAAACCTAAAAAAAATTATCCAAAAAATGCCTTTAAAAACCCCGTTAAAAAGTCCCAAAAAACTCC